TACTTATTAGAAGACTTACAACTCGCCCTTAATACTTTCTAGACTAAACAAACCCAGTTCTTTAAGCTTTCCTCATAGGTCGTGTTTTCTAAAACTCCTATCATTCTTATTGCTCTCCTTTTGTCCCTTTCCAATTTGTCTATCTTAAAGCACAACCGTATATAGATTTTCAGATGAGGTCTCACCAGTGCTCAAAAGAACAGAATAATTACTTCCTGCTTCTTTTCCAGCATTACATCCCATTACAGAATTAGATCTAACTTCATTGCAATGGTATTCCATTGTTGGCATATACTGCTTTCAATCCAGATTATATTTCTTTTGCCATTCTATTGACTCAGTACATGTGAAGTTTCTCTTCTAAATGGACTTCTTTTTACTGAACTTCAGCTTACTCATTTCAGACTTTCTCTCCAGTTTATTAAGACTTGAGCTTTTTATTGAGACTGGAGCAGTTTATTGAGCAAGTTATCTGCTCCTACTGTATCTGCAGTTTCTTGCAGCTTCGTTCATTACCAACAATAAATGTATTCTTCCTATTTAATCACTGAAATAATTTCTAAAAAAATACTCCACAAAAGTGGATAAAGGACAGACTTCTTAGCACCCTGCTGCAAATATCCCTGCTGTCTGACAATGAGTAACTGACATTTTTTACATATATTTACATATACATTATAAATGTATGTGTAAACATATGTAAAATATATTATTTAAAATTGTATTTAAATGTATTTAAAAATGTAAAATTATATTTACATATACATTTATATCAGTTGTGCAACCATTCCATGCTGATTTCATGCATAATTCAATTAAAATTATATTATTTATTGTTATAGCTTTTATTATTGTAATGCATTTTACTCTCCTAGTTATTACAAATACATGATAGTACAGTGTCAAAGCCTTATAAATTTAAAGTATTTCACAGCTACTATTTTCTTCTTTAGCCACAAAGCCAGTTAATCATATGAAAGGAAATTAGATTTGCCTGGCATACTTCGTCCTTGACAAATACAGACTAAAGTTAGAATGGCCATGCTATACAAGGGCCACCTAGACCTGCATCCTGTTTTAGACTGTGGTCCAAAACTGTCACCTAGAAAAGAGTGCAAGAACAAAATGAATGCATAGAGATACATCATTTCATACCTTCAAGAATGCAACTTAAGACTAGCTTATCTGTTTTATTATAGTAATCAACTTATCAGGTTGATTTATGTGATTAGGAAATGATCAGGTAACTTTTAGGAAAAATAACAGCAAAACAAGCATAACATGATTTGATAAACATTAGGATAGATAGATATATAGAGAGAGGTAGATAACATCATGCAGTCTGATACAGACACCAAGTTATTGAAAATTAACAGTAAAGAGACTACTGGGTTTCTATTGACTCACTGATAAATAATTTATTCCATAATTTTTTCAGTATCCAAAATAAAGTGATTAATCAATCTCCATATGTTTTACTTGTAAAGTACTGTTTGCCTTTATCCTCCTAGGGTCCCTTTTGTCCAACATAAGAGTTGTTGAATACAATCATAGATAGTTCAGAGACTACTTCAGCTAATATTTTATAATCTCTACAACAAAATATATTGGCTTCACCCAATGGGAACGCGACTATTTTATTTACAGATTGTTTAATCCCTCATTTTTCCCTGAAAAGTGTGTCTTGTTGTATAACTGTACTAAATAGCAAAGTTACTATTAAATTTATTAAAGATTTTTAGTTTTGTTGTTGTTGTTGTTTTTATAAAACTAAGACTTAAATTTAAAAGGTCCAGAACACACAAGCATAAACAACTTGTGTCTTTTTCAAGAAAGGTTGCCCTTTTTGCTATATTTATAGTTTTTTTTCTTGCTGCTTTTCATTCTTTTGCTAGTTATTATTATTAGTTATTTGCATATTAGTATTTTTGATTGCATCCCTATCTACCTTTTATACCTTCTTTATACTTGTCTACTTTATTTTTAATCATGCACCCATTTCCATCATTCATAATTTTTATTTTTTTTATCCATTCTTGAAGAAGTTTTGATACAGATTTTTTTTTTTTAAATGTTTCTTATCTGTTCTTTTCTCTGAATAACCTGCTATTGTGCATTAAAAAGAGTCTCTTTCACTAAATGTTAGCTTGTAACATAGAGGTAGTTTTTCCTTTCCTTTCCTTTCCTTTCCTTTCCTTTCCTTTCCTTTCCTTTCCTTTCCTTTCCTTTCCTTTCCTTTCCTTTCCTTTCCTTTCCTTTCCTTTCCTTTCCTTTCCTTTCCTTTCCTTTCCTTTCCTTTCCTTTCCTTTCCTTTCCTTTCCTTTCCTTTCCTTTCCTTTCCTTTCCTTCCTTTCCTTTCCTTTCCTTTCCTTTCCTTTCCTTTCCTTTCCTTTCCTTTCCTTTCCTTTCCTTTCCTTTCCTTTCCTTTCCTTTCCTTTCCTTTCCTTTCCTTTCCTTTCCTTTCCTTTCCTTTCCTTTCCTTTCCTTTCCTTTCCTTTCCTTTCCCCACACATCTTGCCTTCATTCTGTTCTTTTCATTCTGTTTCTTGCAAAAAGCCAAAACATTTTTTATTTCATGGTCATTTTTAGAATATTTTGCCTTATCTTATATATAGTCAGCCAACTTATCTCTGTTAATCAGAATCAGAACTACAACTAGATAGTACTTGTTGTCCCTAATATTCTTTGAAAGTTTTCTTTCTGAAAGTTCTTAACATGTTCCAAGAACATGTTATGTTGTCTAGGTTTTGTGTTATTTCAGTTTTGATGTTTTTTTTCTGTTTGTTTGTTTTTCAGCTGGTATTCAATAAATTGATCTTTCTTGTACATACCAGTTCCTGCTGCTAGCAGAGCTCTAGTGGTCATCCTAAAAAAGCTTAATTTGTCTATTTGTCTCCTATTCCAGACCAAGTAGTATATCACACTTCTCAGTTGTAACTTTGCCACCGTTTGTTTTTTTCCTTTTATTTCAGCCCACGCATTATGAATTTATGAATGAATTTAACAGCACAAAAGGATTTTTTATAGAAGAAAAAATATATATATTTTTTTTTTCCCCGGGGTTCCCTATCTGGAAAAGAGTTATTTGCTTCTAAAGATTGTTTTTTCCAACTCTAGCTATATCCATATATGAATACCTTTCTTCCTTGTCCTATTCTGACTAAGTTCCTCCCCAGACTTGTACAGTTTTCAACTCTCACCCATTGCTAAAGAGAGTAAAGTCACGAAAAGAAGTCTATCTTAAAGTTTGAACGTCATCTTCAGGAGGGCATCCATCCATAACCGACAAGTTCACCATACAAAGCAATTTAAAATTTGAAATGGAATAGTGTCGCCTATTAGCAGCTGAAAACATCTGACATACTGGCAGCATGGCTTACATGTATATTTTAATTTCAAAATAGATGTTTGTTTCTTGAAATTTCATCTCCTAGGGCTAGTTTCTTTCATTCGTATTCCCTGTAGTGTGGCATTTTTTTTACATACATACACACATTCATGTACACACACATTATTCTATACTATAACAAATTGTTGATCATCTGATGCAGATACTTAATAAAGGACCATAAAAACATGGCTGCTGGCAGAAGGTGATTTGAAGGAACAGATTAAGTTGCCACTAGAATATGAAATACTATTTTGGTGTGGATATACACAAATATAATGTGTAATTTACAGAATTACATGATGAATAAATAACTCAATTGTTTTCAATACTATAATGTTATGATAACTTAATGTAACTATTAACTATACTATTATAATAATAAATATAGCAATACATAATTGTTAATAACAGCAATAATACCATTATTATCAATATTATAAGTATAAAATTAAAATAGACACATAGTTTTTGGTGGATCTGGTCTTCCAAAATTAAGAGGTCTAGCATTTTCTGTTCAGAAACATCTGTTTCAAAACCATCTAAAAATAAAATTGAGGTTGCACACTGGACATGTAGCAAAATTCTTCCTACCAAAGGAATAGCAACATTATGTGAAAAACCGTGCTGCATTATTAAAAAGGACAGTTGCAATGCTAATAAACCACAGAACATCATGACCTCTTAATTCCAAAAATGTATTGTATAACTGTTATTACTTTAAAACTGTGACGATCAACTTGTTTTAATAGTTCTGCATTTTACTTTTCACTTAACTTTCATTAACGTTCTAAACTACAACCACTAAAAACAAATGAGTTTTGTAAAAAAAAAAAATAAAAAATATGTTTTAGATGTTTAAAATTTGTATACAAATATTGAAATTTACAAAATCAAAACAGTGTTGGGCTTAGGGATTGTTTTTCTACTGGGGAAAAAGGTTCCTTGTTCCCATTGTTCCATTCCCAATTGAACAATGCCACCTTTCTCAATCAACAGACATTAGAAGAGCATTTTATTAGACAGCCCTGTAACACAGGACCCTAAAAAGGATAATATTATAAAAAGAAGAATATTGAATCATTATGCATTTTTAAACTAAAACATCTTGAAATTTTGTTTATCATGCCTAGTTAAAAATGTATCACTTGATTTTAAACTATACCTGATATTTGATAGCTTCAACAGAAAAATACATTCACAAACAGTTTAGAACTAGGGGTTTACAAGTTGGCAGAGGGAAAAGCTGCATAATTTTAAGATACTAATGATTTATACATTTACTTTAAATAAATAAATAAATAATCCCCAAAGTGAATACTTCTGAAATCACTCTAGTTATGAGAATTTCCACTGCTTTTGTACTCTAAAAGTTGAATTATGAAATGCTGAAAATAGCTGTGAAACTTTTAAAAAAGACAGAGAAGAGAAATATAAGGCACCAGACAAAAAGTCAAAATGTTTAGATTCTTTCAGGCATGGAAATAAATACCAGAGCTATTAATTTCTGTTCAAAGAACATATTGCTCATTATTTCTTTGGAATATTTGCTTCACATTGAAATACCAAAATAGTAAAAGTGTAAAACTGAAGTTGAGAAAAGGAGACTGACCTGATCTGGAGAAGGTCTGTGGTTGGAGTGTTGTGGCCTCCCAGGCGATCGGTGATGGTGGTGGTGGTGATGGTGGTGGTAGTGGTGATGGTCGTCATCATAGTTATCTGCCATCAGTTTCATTCTGTTTTGTGTCTATTTAGGATGTAAAGTGAGACAATTTATTACATGCTGGAATATATTAATTCAATACTTGTTTTGGCAAGATCTTAGCTCTTCCTTCACTCTTTTTTCGGTAGCTGCAAGGATCTAACAGTAGAAGTCAGGCCTGCTGGATCATGAAGAAAAGGAAACAGAAATAGAAAAAGATAACAAAGCATGTGAACGCATCTGTCTCAGTTTTCACGTATATAGAATTGCACAAAGAAGTTGGGAAAGGATATGATCAAGGATGTTGTGTTTGAAGGGCGTCAACAAAGACATTCAACTTCTCTAAATTTAATATTTTAGAACATGTCTTTTTTTTTCTTCAACCTATTACTATGTCTCACTAATTAACTTGCAAAAATTCACCAACAGAAATATTATGTGTTCTTGAAATATTTACACTTATCTACTGCAAGTCAACAACAATAATGAATAGTTATGCTAAAAGCTAAATATTATCTATATTTTTAGTTGTATGCCAGGATCACCCTGCTAAACAGTAAATTAAAATAATCTTGAGTCTAATTGATGCAGACACAGACACTTAGACAAATAAGTGATTATGGGACCAAATTAAAGTAAGTCTTAGATATAAATCTTTAAAACAAGATCTATGCTTAAGCTACCGCCTCATCCAGATAATAAAATTGATGTCACCATGAGGTAACGAGACATATCATTGCCCTTTATTAGTATTACAACTATTCCATACCATGAAATATGCAGACTGGAATATCCCAAACCTTAGTCATAGAACCAAGACTATCTTACTACCTAGTTGCCCAATACCAGTGGAAACAGCACTTTTTTTTTTTTTTCTTTTTTTCTGTTAGTAGCACTGAAAGCTGTCTCAGGCAAACTTGTTAACTTTGTTAACTTCTAATCAAGTTTTACTTACTTACATTGACAAAACCAAGAAGAAAATGCCATCAGCTCTCAAAGACCTCTTCCAAAATTTGAAGAATCAATTCAAGGCATATACAATTAGTATTAAGTAGATGGCTGAAAGGAAGATCGCAGTCTAAAGACATTTAATGTCATCTTCAAAAAACTAATCTTAACCCTGACACAATTTTTCTGTAGGGGAAAGGTTGCACTTGAAGAAGCATTATCTACTTTGTGTCAATTTCTATGAGGACACCACTTGAGTAGGTCATGCACAAACATGTCTACTTTGCACATAGACACTTTGGAGGACATTAAAGATAAGAGTCTGAAGTCAATTGCAAAAAGTCACAGTTCTACCCACACTCCAAGGTGGCAGGATGCATATTAACTCCAATGAGGATGCTGTCAAAACACATTACCCCAGGATTTTCTCCAAACTAATCAATTCCAAAGGTCCAAATTAAACAGATGAATTTAAACACGAGTCATTTATTTGGTTATATTCCTATGCTAGCAGGTCTTGCTGTATTCCACCTGAAAATGTCCATGGGATAGTATGTGGTAAATTTACTTCCTAAATGGATTATCCTATGAGAACAATTGCATACCATATCTCCATTTGGAAAATTTCACTGATTTAATAAATTAATAAATAGAAAATGTAAAAACTAAAATATTGCCATTAAATTCCCTTATTTTAATGAATTTGCTGAAGTAGAAAAGATTTCTGAAAGAAAAAAAAAAGAGAGAGAGATAGAGAAAACTAAATATTATTACAAAATATTCCATAATAACAGAATCTAATGCGAGGAAAACTATGAGCCACAGGGTTAAATCAAAATCCTAAGGTTATTAATTATTGCTAATTATTAATTAATTAGCAATTAATTTTATTTTGAACTACCATAATGCTTCTCAAGCACCTCACATTGCCACGATTAGGGAGACAAACTACTTTATAGGAAGGCACTTGCACTGAGTTCAAGTTAAGATTAGAAAAAAAATAATCATAAGGCATTCATAATATAATAAAACAAGATAGAGGAACAGTCGCAGATGGTATGTGTGCATGCTTTAGCCACTGTTAGACTCTTTATAGGCATCCCTATAGCAATAGAAGAGCATCTTCTCAGTGGGTTACAGAATACATGTAGATTTCCTCCACAGCTCAAGTAGTAGATTCTTTCAAACAGGAATTGCGCTGGAACTATATGGTGTTTTTTCATGTCTTTTAACACTATTTTCTGCACAGTTGTGATCATTCCATTTTCTCCATCATGGATAAGAGAGGAGCATAGACCTGTATTAATTTCAGTTATGAATTTCTACTGATTTTACAAAAAATAAAAAAAAAAATCAATGTGATTCATAGTTAGCCTGTTTGCCTTCACGTTCAAAGAGAATGGCTTTTTGAACAAGAGTGAAAAAGATGGAGAACTAATAGACAAATAATAACCCACTTACTGTAAACACTGTAATATCCTGCCTCTTTGGGGAAGCTCCTAAGATTTTATTAGTTTATTTTCTTATCAATGAACAGCCTTAAATTTCCTACCTTTCAACTGTATTCCATAAAAGAATGCAAAAGTTAAACAAGATGATATATGCAATCCTAAAAGTGTCCCCTGTAATGAGGTGTTGGAGATTAGACGTGTCATGGGATAAGAACTGTAAATGAATGATGTCATCTTTCTAATTTGGTGCTGAAATATAAATAAACTACTTCTAATGTTTCCTCCTTTTGGATGCCAGATTGCAGTAAAATCTGCACAAAGAAACTGTTAATGCTGCAGTAGGGTTCTTTTAGTTGTCCTGTTCTGGAAGCAAAACGTATAAGAAATAGGAAATTAGGATTTCCTTTCAATTGATATGATCATCAAACCATCCAAACATTTACATAACATTTTATTGTTATTGTTCATTCCTAAAAATTATACTAAATATTTTTAATAGCTTTTTCTTTTTATTAGTTAGTGATTCACAATGACAACTAATAGGATTTTGAGTTTCTGCTTCTCTTCAATTTAGCTGCTGTCAAAGAGAGATGCTCTGTTTTCCAGATATGCTTAGCTTTCACTTTAGTGGTACAAAACATGGTATGATTCAAAATTTTAAAAGCAGGACTTTTAAGGGTAAGCAGGAGGATTTCTGGAGGAGGAACAAAACTAAAGCCATCCAGAAAATTAAACAGAGGAAAAATATAATCCTTTCCAGCTCCTTCTAAACAAAATGCTGAAATGTTACTTCCATACACTTCCCTTGCTAACTCTTTTAATTCTTAGTAGGCATTAAAATGCCATGTATATTATTGTTTGAGGGAGAAATTAATTAACCACACTGGAACTCATTCAAGACCCAAAGGCTTTACACACCCCCCACACACATACAAGCACACACACCAACACGTAGAAAAGGATTTTATTGGCCATGTTTTAGGACATTGGCTTATCAGACAAACAGGAACTGCCTCTGCTCAGGGTTTCATGTCAACACATTTGAATATCATTCCAGTTCTGTCTTGGGGAAAAAGTACACCTACTGACTTGGCAATGCCATAATTTCCTGCACCATCTTCAGCATGCCTGAAAATTTCCTGTTTGAAAATACATGAGACTTTTTCACAGAATTTCACAGAATTTCTAGGTTGGAAGAGACCTCAAGATCATCAAGTCCAACCTCTGACCTAACGCTAACAGTCCCCACTAAACCATATCCCTAAGCTCTACATCTAAACGGCTTTTAAAGACCTACAGGGATGGTGACTCCACCACTTCCCTGGGCAGCCTGTTCCAATGTCTAACAACCCTTTCGGTAAAGAAGTTCTTCCTAACATCTAACCTAAAACTCCCCTGGCGCAACTTTAGCCCATTCCCCCTCATCCTGTCACCAGGCACGTGGGAGAACAGACCAACCCCCACCTCACTACAGCCTCCTTTAAGGTATCTGTAAAGAGCAATAAGGTCGCCCCTGAGCCTCCTTTTCTCCAGGCTGAACAAGCCCAGCTCCCTCAGCCACTCCTCGTAGGACTTGTTCTCCAGGCCCCTCACCAGCTTTGTCGCCCTTCTTTGGACCCGCTCAAGCACCTCCATGTCCTTCTTGTAGCAAGGGACACAAAACTGAACACAGTACTCGAGGTACGGCCTCACCAGAGCTGAGTACAAGGGGACGATCACCTCCCTAGCCCTGCTGGTCACACTTTCTGATACAAGCCAGGATGCCGTTGGCCTTCTTGGCCACCTGAGCACACTGCTGGCTCATATTCAGCCGACTGTCCACCATCACTCCCAGGTCCTTCTCTGCCTGGCAGCTCTCCAACCACTCATCTCCCAGCCTGTGGCTCTGCTTGGGGTTATTGCGCCCCAGGTGCAGGAACCGGCACTTGGTCTTGTTAAACTTCATGCAGTTGACCTCAGCCCATCGGTGCAGCCTATCCAGATCCTCCTGCAGAGCCTTCCTACCCTCAAGCAGATCGACACACGCACCTAGCTTGGTGTCATCTGCAAACTTACTGAGGGTGCACTCAATGCCCTCGTCCAGATCATCAATGAAGATATTAAAGAGGACCAGCCCCAGCACCAAGCCCTGGGGGATGCCACTAGTGACTGGCCTCCAACTGGACTTGACTCCATTCACCACGACTCTTTGGGCCCGGCTATCCAGCCAGTTTCTAACCCAACGAAGCGTGCGCCAATCCAAGCCAAGAGCAGCCAGTTTCTTGAGGAGAATGCTGTGGGAGACGGTGTCAAAAGCCTTGCTGAAGTCAAGGTAGACCACATCCACAGTCTTTCCCTCATCCACCCAGCGCGTCACTTTGTCATAGAAGGAGATCAGGTTCGTCAAGCAGGATCTGTCTTTCATAAACCCATGCTGACTGGGCCTGATCGCCTGCTTGCCCTGCAAGTGCTGCATGACGACTCTCAAGAGGATCTGCTCCATGAGCTTCCCTGGCACTGAGGTCAAACTGACAGGCCTGTAGTTCCCTGGGTCTGCCCTCCGGCCCTTCTTGTAGATGGGCGTCACGCTTGCTAGCTGCCAGTCAACTGGGACATCCCCTGATAGCCAGGACTGCTGAAAAATGATGGATAGTGGCTTAGCCAGCT